AACAATTAATGTAACTAAACTTATACATGTAATTCTACTTTTATAGACTTCTAAGAGCAAGAAGAATAGCTTTCTACTACATGCAAAAGGTGATGCAAGCAACGTAAAGTGTGAATGAGAAAAAGAGATGAATGAGCTTATAAAATGCAAACTCACAGCAAAGCAAAGTCAGTTTCCCCCTATATAAATATGGTGCTCTGCTACAGAAAATATATTTTAAAGTTTTGTGTAAATTCATATGAATAAGGGTTTGATTTTATCCTTACAAATTTACATTAAAGTTTTTATAAAACAAAATTTATCTGTATATTAACAGAAAATGTTGGGACACAAAAGTGTAATGAATTCTCAAATATTGTTAGATTATTCAATTGTCAAGTAGAACACTATTGATATATTTTCTAGATTAGAACTGCTTTTCAAACAAGATTAAGTCTGCATGTGAAAGATTTCTTGTTTGGAGAGGGATAATTCTATTTAAAATATTCTAAAGAATACATAATTAGTGCCATCTACTGGCAATCTGGAGCAATTAACTTTTAGGCTGAAATCTCTACAGAACATGTGTTAATTTAAAACTAAGTCGTTTCTAAATAATCCCAATTTTGTGCATTGGGGAAAAAATAAAAACACCTCGATTATATAAACATTTCCTACAGAAAAACAAGATGTATTCCAGATGAATAGCAATATTAGGAAGAGGTGGCATAAACTGTGATAGGCTTGGAACAAGGGAGAGTATTGGGTGAGAGGGGAAGCAGATTGCTCTGAAGATATTCATAAACTATCTTAAAGTGCAATTCTGTTATAAAAAGGTGAACAAAAAAAGTCAGACCAGCTCTAATGTCTAATACAGAAGGCAGTGACTACTTATAGATATATATGCCATATTACTAATTCCATTCTCCCTTATTAATGTACACTTAAGTACATCTAGACTAGAAAGTAGGTGCTAGTGTTTTGAAGTGGAAACTATGACACTTATTGAGTCAATTTCAGTTCTCTTTCTCTAGCTGCACCTCTTATTGGCAGGAAACACCTTTGGGCAAGGGCCACTGCTCTCATGTCTTGTTTTTGAGTTCCCCGTCCAAGATCTGCTCTGGAGGGACCTTCATTCCCCCAGGGTGGATCTTGGGTAGAATTAAAGGGTTGCAGTGGGGAGGGACAATCACAGAAAATTGTCTTCCTTATTCTGCAGATGGATGACATTTGTAAATACACTCGTACCTTGGATCCCGAACACCTTGGTACTCAGATGTTTTGGGTCTTGAATGCCGCAAAGTGAGTGTTCGGAAGTGAGTGTTCCGGTTCTTTGGAACCCGAACGTCCAACGGGGCTTCTGATTGGCTGCAGGAGCTTCCTGCAGCCAATCAGAAGCTGTGCTTTGGTTTCCGAACGTTTTGGAAGTCGAGCTGAATTCCGGAACGGATTCCGTTCAGCTTCCAAGGTACGACTGTATTGCTTATATATTGCTAGGGGAGTACCGTATTTTTTGCTCTATAAGTCTCACTTTTTCTCTCCTAAAAAGTAAGGGGAAATGTGTGTGCGTCTTATGGAGCGAATGCAGGCTGCACAGCTATCCCAGAAGCCAGAACAGCAAGAGGGATCGCTGCTTTCACTGCGCAGCGATCCCTCTTGTTCTGGCTTCTGAGATTCAGAATTTTTTTTCTTCTTGTTTTCCTCCTCCAAAAACTAGGTGCGTCTTATGGTCTGGTGCGTCTTATAGAGCGAAAAATGTGACTATTATTTACAGGACAATTATATTGGTTTTTTTTATTATTTCTTTGTGAACTGAGAAACGTTGTCAAATCTAAAGAAATTGTGTCATGTATGGGCCTCCAAGACAGTCAACATTTCTCAAATAATTTTCCAACATAGCTGTAAAGCATGGTGTCTCTTTAACAAATACTTTCAGCTTCAGACGTTTTAGATAGCCAGCAGTTTAGCAAAGCATGGCATAGTATTTACTGTAGCAGAGGCACCCACGTCACTAAGAGGGACCTCCATATGCATGACCACAACAAGTAGCAGCCATTCAACCTGAGGGAAGCCCACAGGCTCGCAGGGCCACTGGCTGGCTCTTTGTCACCAAATGCAGAAGGTTGAATGCAGACATCACTGTAATATCCTCACCAACACAACCAGAGGCAAAGAACAGGGGCAAGAGCTGAGTAAGGGAGAAAAAAAAAGATGAAAATAAAATTAAAACATCAAAAATGTTAGATACATTCACAGCAAAACTGGTGGTTATGATTTTTTTAAATGAAAGGAAAATACAAGACTAACAATCCAAATACACATTCATAAGTAATTTTATCTAATTCCTTGCTGTCAGGCTTTTATGCTTGATTACATTAGCATGATTGATAACATAATAAGCAAACACACTCACTGCACCGGGCGTTGATGCACCTTGCTAAAATACAAGACACACAAAAAAAGGGAATTCAAGGATGATTGGGAAATGATCTCATGAAAAATTCAGAAAGTAAAACACAGAACTTTTCTTTTTCACTTATTATGAGATGACATGAATGTTCCAGGTCCCTTCAAAATAATGGGGCAGATAGTGTTACACAAATAATAGGCACTTTGAAACTGTTGAGTACTTTTAACAATTTCCCTGTCATCATATTTAAATGGTGTAATCCCATGAACACTGCACTGAGGCCTTTGGTCAAAGAGCAAGAGATGCAGAGAGGAAAGTTAATCTGAGGGGACTGGAAATTTGTTACAAGAGTTGGCAATGTGCAGTTACCCTATGAAATAAACATAGAATCTTTCCTTAAGTTTCTGCAATGCAAACCAAAAAGAAACTTCTAGTTGGCAGGCTGCAATAAAACAGATTGTGGAAGGCTGCATCTATTCTCTTCTGCTCTTCCCGTTCATTTGAATGTCCAGAAGTTTGCAATAGATTACTTTGTATAATAAAACGTTTTATTAGCTGCACTAATTTTGCACCGTGACAACAACTTCATCCGCCTGTAATCTGAAGGTAAACTAAGGTTGCAGGAAGCAGTAGAAAGGGAGGCAAAGTTCTGCAGATGTTTGTACAAGAACCTGGGCAATTCCTTATTTGTAAAATATCATCTATGGCCTCCATGTTAATTCCCTGATGTGTAATTTGGCCAAACAGGATCAACATGGAAATTGACACCATTTTCATTTGGCTTGTGGGCATCATGGGTACACTAAATCAGGGCACACCAACAGCCTAGAAACCTGTGTGCAAACATCGAAAGAGTAGGAGGAAGGCCCTGGTGGGTAATAGTTATATCTTCTTTGCTCCCTCTTTAAATTCTGAAAAACATGAGATTGAATCCAAAAGTTATGCAAGAGAAGGTACCTTGTGAAAGCAGAACTACACTCATGCAACATGTATCTTCCCCATTGTCAGTGATTCCCTTTCCCCACAGCAGTAGCTCCCACCCCACACTACAGTCTGTGCTCCAGAGATGCATGGTCTGGATGAGACAGGAAAGATCTGCTGCATGAATGGCCTTCTACTCACACAAACCTTGGGATCCAATCCTTTCCATTTGCATTGTGTGTGCGCACACATTAGTTATGCAATGTAAAAGGCATGCAAAGGTATGTAGGTTACCCAGTTACACATCACCAAAGGTGTGGATAGAAGAGGATATGTTATTGGTGTGAAATTTTCTAGGATGCAAATTTAGAGGCATCTCCTAGCTTAAACGAAATACATCTTGTTACAGTGACCAAGTGACATAGGCGCCGACTCCATGGGGCTTGAGGGGGCTCGAGCCCCCTCAAAAAAATTTTGGGGGGGGCTCAGCCCCCCCAATAATCTCGGGCGCCGGGGGCGGGGGCTCCTGCCTCGCTGCTTCGCAGCACCACCGCCACTGCCAAGGCACTGCCGGGGGGAATTTCCTTCCTCCTGGCGGTTTCAGCCCCCGCGAGAACAGGGGAATCCCGACTGGCCACACCTCCCAGCCAGCCAATCGGCTGGCTGGGGGGCGTGGCTTGCCCTAATTAGGGCCGGAGCCACTTTATTTGCATATTCATGAGCTTATTTATTATTCATGAGCTTTCCCGGGCCCCCCCAATATTTTTTATAAGTCCGCGTCCCTGCCAAGTGACCTGTGGTGTCTGCAGTCTGCTCTCCATGAACTAACTGAGAGGGCCCCTTGTTGTTCCTTCTCCATCCTTAAAATTGGATTTTGACCACTTTTTCAGAGAACTGTCCTCTAAAGTAGGATATGCGGTCACCCTAAATATATACAGTGGTACCTCGGGTTAAGTACTTAATTCGTTCCGGTGGTCCGTACTTAACCTGAAACTGTTCTTAACCTGAAGCACCACTTTAGCTAATGGGGCCTCCCACTGCTGCCACGCCGCCGGAGCACGATTTCTGTTCTCATCCTGAAGCAAAGTTCTTAACCTGAAGCACTATTTCTGGGTTAGCGGAGTCTGTAACCTGAAGCGTATGTAACCTGAAGCGTATGTAACCCGAGGTACCACTGTACAAGAAGGATGACTGTTTCTACTTCCCCTACGTCAAGCAAAGGGAAAGTTGTATGTTGCTTCTTCCAGTCCCTTTACATAAGAAGCATCAATATATGTATTATTAAATCAGTTTGAAGTACCAACAACTACCATAACAATAAAAACCCTGCTTGAATTAACATGGCTGAACGCTGACTTAGAAAGCGATGGAAATGAAACATTTGTGAGTTCCTAAATGGAGAGGTGGGGAGGAAGAGTGAGAAGGTAAGTACCGCAATGAATAGCCTGAGAGAACCATTAAACATAAATAAACATGTCATTTCCACGAGTGACTGCAGAACTGCTTTTTTGTTTCCTTTCTTTAAAAAAAACAACCAAAAAACACCCAACTAACATTCCTCTGGAGCAGACTACTGACTAATAAAAGATCAAAGGTATATGCATTCCAAACACACAAATAAAAATGTAATCTTTTCTCCCAAGCAACCTTCACCATGAGGAATAAAAGTGTGCAGTGAAAACGTAATTACCTAGCAAAGCTGGAGTCTTATTGTGCTCCCGCAGCTGATCATAAAACGTCTTCCTATTCTGTTTCATCAACTGTAGTACCAGGCAGCCTGTGCGCCTACCAATTGCAGCCATCTGGCTTGTGTCAAAGACTGTGAGTCAAGCAGCTACAGTGCAACAGGAAGAAAGGCAGTGATGTCACTCTTCAGGTCAGGCAAAGAACAAAGATGTATTCTACCATTAAAAAAAAAACACTGGGTGCCCCAGGAGTAGAGAGGCCTCTAGCATGCTTTGGCTTAGTGATTTATGATTAATGCTGCTCTTTCCACTAGCTAAGGAGCAGAGCACCACCTAGTGGTTAGCATAGGGAATAAGTGTGAGCGAAAGGAATGACTTGTGTTGTTGCTTAAACCAGATGATAGAACTTTTGAAAGTTAAAAAGATTAATATCAATTAGAAATAAAAGTGTAGGTTGGCTCACACTCAAGAAGCAATTAAGCGCTCTAGACTAAATAAGTCCATCTGTTCTTTGTAACGGTACACACAGTGAACACATGCAATTTGGGGTTTCACTGAAAATTCAGAAAGGATTGCCTCATCTCAGGAGTCTGACACTTATTGTCATCCAGCTAATAAGAGGTAAAGGGGGAGAGGCCAAAATATGCTTAGAAAAAGAGGGCGCTTAAGCTTCTCACAACATATTTAATTCATTCATTCATTCATTCATTCATTCATTCATTGAATTTCTATACCTCCCGTCATCTGAGGACCACAGGGCAGTTTACAATATAAAAGCACAAAAATATATAACATAGTAACAAACAAAAACAATACTCCGCCCACATACGTAGCTTAAAATGCCATATATTGTTTAATTAGCCAAAGGCCTAGGAGAAGATGAAAGTTTTTGCATGGCACCTAAAGATACATAATGAAGGCACCAGGCAGGCCTCCCTAGGAAGAACATTCCACAAGTAGGGAGCCACCACAGAAAAGGCCTTTTCTTACGTTGCCACCCTCAGACCTCTCGAGAAGGAGGCACATAAAGAAGGGCTTCAGATGATGATCACAGGGTTGGGGTCAGTTCATATGGGGAGAGTCAGTTTTTTGAGGTACTGTATTGCAGTCCTGCGGGAGGCAGTGGAAGACAGGAGTGCCTGGCGTGCTCTGGTCCATGGGGTCACGAAGAGTCGAACACGACTAAATGACTAAACAACAACATTGCAGTCCTGAGCCATTTAAGGCTTTATGTGTCAAAACAGGCACTTTGAATTGGACCTAGAACTAAACGGAAGCCAGTGTAATTGAGCCAGGATTGGTGTTATAAGTATGCTCAAACCATCTTAAAAATAAAAAGTAGGCTTTGCCAGACATATGGAACAACCTTTCATCAAATAGAGGAGTGGGTAATACCACAAGTTTAAAATACCCTTGACAAAAATCCACAGATACTAAGGCATCAAAGTGTGAATCTTGCATAAAACCCAAGAATCAGGCATTGATCACCTAAAGTTTGGGGTGGTGGGTGAAAGAAGACAGATGGCTCACTATCTTGCCTTGGTGTATTGCAGCTGCATAGCAGAAGTAAGGTCTACAGTGATGAAAGCGCCTATTATTTTCACAATTTCCCTCGAGTAAACAGTCAAATTGACAGGCAGGTGCATGGAATAGAAACTAATTTATCCACATGGGGTTCCGCGTGGAGTCCCTAAGGCAGCTCACAATTACAAGTTAAAAACATAATTTAATCAACACATAATCATATGAAAAAACAGGCACAAGTAGAATATAGCTCAGAACAAGAAGGGGGAAAGGCATTAACAGAACTTCAGAAAAGCAATGAGAGGGGGCCAACTGAGCTTCCCAAAAAAAGCCCTGTGGCGCTAACCAGGTTTCCAGTGCCAATGGAACACTGAGCATGGTCTCAGACAAAAGACATAGTAGGTGGGCAGACTCTTAGCCCACCAATGGGCAGCAGGCATCAACTCTTCAGAGGAAGAAGACTGCTTGTTCTTGCAAGATCTCTGCCTGAGTTATTGACAGGGACATTTTGCGACAACAGGTGGAAGGGGGATCCTGGGAAGGAAGCAAGGTACAGGTGAGATTGTCAGCCTTATTTGAAGACCAGGAGCAGGAAGGATTGGTATGGTTAACATAGGCAAAGGGGCGAATAGGGAAGACCCAGGTTCAAATCCTCACTCAGCCATGAAATGGGGGGACTAGGTACACCACACATAGCTTATTCAGGGAAGCCCAGAATAAATATAAAACAAAATAATTCATTTAAAAACAGAAACAGCAATGTAATTGCTCCACAATAACTTGTGTTCTTTTGTAATTAGTATAAGCATCAAGCCTGTTGATACTTGTTTTCTTTGTTGTTCTCCTTTAGGTTTGTTTCAGCAGGAGGCTTTTCCGTACTTGTACATACTTTGGGATACCCTGAGTCTGCCAATACTTCCCTCTTGTGTGTAGCTTATATGGTTTTGGCTACATTAGCACAAGGAGGTAAAGGTAAAGGGACCCCTGACCATTAGGTCCAGTCGCGGACGACTCTGGGGTTGTGGTGCTCATCTCGCTTTACTGGCCAAGGGAGCCGGCATACAGCTTCCGGGTCATGTGGCCAGCATGACTAAGCCGCTTCTGGTGAACCAGAGCAGCGCACGGAAATGCCGTTTACCTTCCCGCCAGAGCGGTACCTATTTATCTACTTGCACTTTGACGTGCTTTCGAACTGCTAGGTGGGCAGGAGCTGGGACCGAGCAACGGGAGCTCACCCCGTCACGGGGATTCGAACCGCCGACCTTCTGATTGGCAAGCCCTAGGCTCTGTGGTTTAACCCACAGCGCCACCCGCGTCCCTAGCACAAGGAGAGGAAGACTCAAATTGGTATTAGGGAATATGACAGAATGCTGAGAGACTGTAATGGAATGTCTGCAATGGAGAAACATAGGGAAAACTCAATTTGCAGTAATCCCACTTACCCACCTCTATGTTAATAGGGTTCCACCTCCTAAGTCAGTTTTGGCTGAACCTATAATATCATACCTTATTTATACATTTTGTCAGCAAATTAATGGAAGGGTTAAAACTGAAGAACTTGCTTTAAAGTAGGTGGCTGCATTAAATGGGGGGGGGGGGACAAAATGTCACCAAGCAGGGCTTTCCACCTGAACATTTAATAGTTATGAGATGAAATACATAGTTAGCTGGAACAACATGTAAGAACGGCTGTTTCAATAGCATATGCTGTGTCAGCATACATAATTGCTTCTTAGAATAGAAATGGCTTGTGTTCAGTTCTAAGTCGTTAGATGTCTTTCTTAACAAGCCATTAGCACAGCAGAGAACTGACAGTCACTCAAAGCTGCAGTAAATTCTTAATGTCAATGAATTTGCTGATACAACATACTGGGAGTCAATAGCCCATAAAATACCCACACAAAGAAAACATTTTTAAACCATCAGAACTGTAGGTGCAGAACCATAACGCAGCAGCCACATCTATGTTAAATTACTGCATTAAAAATCTAGATGATGCTAACACTTAGCATTTCTATAGCTCTTTAGAGTTCATTCAAAGTACTTTATGTACATGTGATCTTAGTAACCCTTACAACAACCCTACCTTACAGGTAGTCAGTAATATTACCCTCTTACTGCAGAGATAACGGCTTGCCTCAGGGCACCTAGCAAATTCATGACTAGAGTGAAAATTACATAAAGAACTTGGTCTCTCACAATTTACACACTAAAGCCAGTAACTACAAAAGTCATTTTGGCAGCAATCATGGTCTTCTCATTTTCTTTAATAATGTATGAAATACCATTTTCATCAGACATTAAAAGTAAAAATGTATGCCACAGTGAGATTTAAACTGTTCACTGAACTCAAGTATTAAAAAAAAAAATACATTTGTTTGTTTTTTTACCTTCTAATGGTTTTCACTATGTGTCACAAAAGTTCAGCCTGTGACCATGAGAGAGAAAAACTCTTCCCCTTATGTCATGGAAGCTTTTGTGGGCTATTATTAAAGCTGAATTACAGTATTGATTTCATATCCTCCCTTGTCCTACGTAATGACTAAACTCCAGCCAAATCTGAAGTTAGGAGGAGGAAAAAAGCAACACAACTGTGCATTTAGAAAGAAGAAGAAGAAAATACTGGGAACATAGATGAAGTCTGAAAATTTAAATACTAAATTGAATTACTGAGTCTTCTTTTAAACCCCTTTCCCTCCTTCCCATGAATAGTCAGGCGTTCCATTTATGATGCAGGCACAGAACCGATTCCCAAATTCTCAGTTTTCTGTGGCCTCTGTAGCCCAGCCCAATCACCAAAGAACACAACATACCACGAAGTGTCATTTTTATTAGTGCAGTCCAGGTGACAAAGAGAATTTCTTACTATATCTCACCTTGCAGACAGGGAATGCAACCTCCTAACATCTCACCCATGTACAGGCATCCATCAAATAATATCATTTATCATTATTATTGATTATCATCTATTTTTTATTATTTTAGTGCTTGTAGTAAATAGATATACAAGCACTTGACACAACTGCCAGATTCAAATGGTAATTATATTTTTTATAATATTAGTACAGGCCTGGAATTGTTGGAGGTGTTTTAGTATTTCCCCACTTTTATTTAAAATTGCTGGGATTTTAAAAGGGCCAGATTGATGACAAGGACAGAACAGTAAGTTCTGCTTTGTTATTGCACTCATTACAAAATCCGGCTGATGTCAGTGGAACAACCAAATGACAATGCGCACTTGCCCAGCTATTGATCTGAGGATTTAGCATAGTTGTGTTTTCCTTGCAAGAAGATATGAGCACAGTAGTTCTCTATAAAGGAAAATAAACACCAATTTAAAACTCTTGCAAAAGGCAAGTCTAAAACCATCCTGGGGAATCCCCTAGACTCAATGTGCAAGTAATAAGACAACAGTGGAACACTTACTTCCTTGTGTTTCCCAGAAACTACGCTCCATCTGCTTATAGCTGCTGTGAGTTAGGAAAAGGGAGAATTCCATACTCTTGGCAGAATATATAAAAAGACCAACTCATCCAGTAGACAGTATGGAAAATGAATATAGGTGGCAGAGTCATAGTATGCAAAAGGTAATACACACTAGAGGATCAAGCAGGGCTATGGTGACTCATACAATGAGGTCAGGCAATGCATAGGCATCCATAGGCATCCTGTTGATGAGGCATTTAGTGTAGGAAATTTTCAGAGATCAAGGATGATGCCCAAGAAAGTGCAGTGAGCACATTCTGGTGTTGTAATAGAGCTCAGGTGGGGAATAACCAGCCTGGGATACAAATGTGGCCCTCTATGGACTTCTGTCTTCCCTGAAGATTCTCCCCAGGCGATACCCATCACTGGTCCTGCTCTGCACTGTCCTCAGGTGCTTTCGCCTGGCTGCAATGTGTTCTTGAACTGTGATAAAAAACACTTCTTGCTTGTTTGAAGAGAGTTGTTGAGGGTGGTGGGTCAGGGTGTAGAAATGCCTGACTTTTGGGTAGCTGTAATATAGCCTACTGGACAAAGGTAGAATCCAGTAGAAGAGTAGAATTGTTGACCCTGGGCCCTGCCCACCACTGGTATGTGGCTGCCCATGAGGCTGCCCATGAGGAAATATGGCCCTCAGACCGAAAATGGATCACCACTTCTGTAACAGAGAATGGATCTATAATTAGAAGGCAATCCACAGAAATGTGCACAAAAAGATATACAATCATGGGGGTAATTATATTAGTCTCTTCTTGCCCCTGAAAACTGATGTTATAGTCAAAGTTCCAGGGCCCATGTTCCAGGGTCTTCCCTCCAGAAAAGGGCTACAGATGGCACAGGTGCTCAGTTAAGCATTTTTGGATGCAGTAGATTAAACTAGTGCCCTGGTAAACTCTGTACGTGCCAGAGGAGGCTGCTACATTGCCAGGCAAGATCTACTTTCTGCTGTACAGTACTGCAGATCTGCTTTTAAACACTCAATGCATGAGCCAATTCTCTGTTTAAAGGAATGATTCTGGCCTAGTTTGAACAAAAATCTTTTTGAAATCTTATTTAATTAAATAGGTGAAAATCCAGTTAGTGGAGACACCTATTCTCCTTTAAAATCGCCTTAGTTGGCTTAGTTTAATCTGATTCCTTGCCACCTTAAACAAGATTAGAATAAAGCCAATTTAAACACTCCCACACAAACATTTCCCCTAATTCAGTTAAACCTGATTTTTAAGTTTGACCAATTTATAAAACTTACATAACTGTAAATAACCATGGCATTAAGATGGATAGCAACATTTGAAAGATTGTAGATGAACAGTATTTAACAGAATCAAAGGGTGTTGCTGATATGAACAGTCCCGGATAACCAGGGGCAGTAAATAGACCAGGCATAGGCAAACTCGGCCCTCCAGATGTTTTGGGACTACAACTCCCATCATCCCTGACCACTGGTCCTGTTAGCTAAGGATGATGGGAGTTGTAGTCCCAAAACATCTGGAGGACCAGTCCCTGCACCACTGGTGTCCCCCGAATGCACTAGAGCAGGAGTTTTTCCCCATAAATGAATGGTTACCATTAACTTCTAACAAAAAATTAAAGCACTGCATTTGGTGGCACTCTTTGGCTGTAAGGATTTACGTTCTGATATTTAGGTGTGACTATGCTACAACAAATACTAAAACAGCAGATACTGAAGCTGTCTGCTCCAATTCACCATCTCTCTAACCTTCAACTCAAGGGGAAAATCAGTAAGAGTATTTGAAGTCTTTTGTCAGTTCAGAATAAAAAGCCCAACACAAACCTTTTCCTCTTATATAAGAAGACAGATATTGTATCCTGGGGAAACTAATAGTTAAGATGGATAAGAGAGACATACAATATTAACAAGAAGTCATGCAGCACCGTAAACACTAACAAATGAATTGTGGCATAAGCTTTTATGGCAGAGTCTATAGTACTTTGCAGAGCTTTTTCAAATCTTTAATTATGTTTTCATAGGTTGCCATTAGGACGTGGACATCTGATACTTTTATATCAAGTGCAGAAATAAGTATCGTTAAACCAAATATTATAATCTCAAGAGCACTAAACCTTTAAAATAATATAGGAACAAATGTTTAAGTTTAATAGTCACATGGAAATTCTGCTGGAAATAAGCCTTGAAGGGCTCTCTTGCTCACATTTCTTGGCAAACTCCAACAACAACAACACAGAGAAGGAAACTACACTCTAGGCATTGGGACAGAACTATAAAAGTAAGCATAAAAAAGCGTCCCATAAGAAACAGTAGTGAGTCAGCAAGCAAGTAGAAATTCTCAGCACTAGGTTGGAATCAAAGTGATCTGCACTATGCCACAATGTGGGTGGATTCACATCTACTATTATAGATCGTGAGCTAAGCCAGGCATGGAGAACCTCTAGCCAATGGGCATAATTAGACCCAGCACTGGTCCCAGTTTGGTCTGAGAGGCCATTTTCCGAAACCCACACTCACTTGCCTCACACCTAAGGTCAAATGTGGCATCAGTTGTGGAGCAGGTAGAGATGCTGCTGCCAATGGGCCCTAAAAGTGCATTCCCAGTTTTCTTTGGTAAGGGAGGCTTGCTTGGGTGGTGAAAGTAATCCCACTGGCTGAGGTACCGAGTTCCCGAAACTCTATTGGTACACTATAAGTTCGTATTCATCACCTGTTTATATTCCACTGATATACAAAAAGCTTCATTCCTCTCCTAATATATTCTATGCAGCTGTCACCTTTGTTGTTGTTGTTGTTTAGTCGTTTAGTCATGTCCGATTCTTCGTGACCCCATAGACCAGAGCACGCCAGGCACTCCTGTCTTCCACTGCCTCCTGCAGTTTGGTCAAACTCATTTTAGAAGCTTCGAGAACACTGTCCAACCATCTCGTCCTCTGTCGTCCCCTTCTCCTTGTGCCCTCCATCTTTCCCAGCATCAGTGTCTTTTCCAGGGAGTCTTCTCATGAGGTGGCCAAAGTATTGCAGCCTCAGCTTCAAGATCTGTCCTTCCAGTGAGCACTCAGGGCTGATTTCCTTAAGAATGGAGAGGTTTGACCTTCTTGCAGTCCATGGGACTCTCAAGAGTCTCCTCCAGCACCATAATTCAAAAGCATCCATTCTTCGGCGATCAGCCTTCTTTATGGTCCAGCTCTCACTTCCATACATCACTACTGGGAAAACCATAGCTTTAACTATAGGGACCTTTGTTGGCAAGGTGATGTCTCTGCTTTTTAGGGTGCTGTCTAGGTTTGTCATTGCTTTTCTCCCAAGAAGCAGAGATGTATAATTCCCCAAGCCAGGTAAGCAAGGCATTGGGTTTTGGGAAGGAGGAATGAGGGCTCTAGAGTCCTCCTGCCTCCTTCTAAAAGCCTAGTTAGCACTTTTCCGAGCTTTGGAAAAGAGGTAGAAGGGCTTAAGGATCCTGCCAGAGCCTCATACCTCCTTCCCAAAGCCCTGTGCCTTGCTTAGCTAGCATTGCAAAGGCAGTGTACTGTTTTTAACACTGATTGGGAGCCGCCCAGAGTGGCTGGGGAAACTCAGCCAGATGGGCGGGGTATAAATAATAAATTATTATTATTATTATTATTATAGTGCAAGGGCTGGGGGGGCATCAAACTTTGACCTTGTTCCCCCCCATCCCCAGATGAAAAGGAAATGTGAAACCTGCGGGTTCTGTGTAAAAGCACTTTTGCTGCCCACTTAGGATGAAAAGTTGGGCCACCCTGAGTTACAATATGGGGAAGGCACATGTCATTCTATCTATGTAATCTTGTGAGCAGTATGCTGCTACTACTAATTCCAATGTGCATTGAAGGAACACAGGAATGTGTTTAAGAATAAGAAGTGAGAATTCAGCATTCAAAAACTGAATAGGTATTATAACTTTTAAGAAATTAAAAACATTTTTAAAAATGAAAGTCACTTATTCTCAGAGATAATAATTTCAAGGCTGCCAAGCATATTACTGTAATCAAACGCCTGCATAAACAGGAATGTTTTAAAATTCCTTCTGAAAGTTAATAATGAGTGAGACAGATGCATCTCACCAGGGAGGCATTCCATAAACAGGGAACTATTTCCAGTGACATCATCCAAAGGAATTGGGATCCTTGACATGGCTTAGCTGATAGGCATGAGGGAATCCCTGAATTGTCAACACTGTTCAGAAAGCAGAGTCCTTTCCCTGAATTCCAGCTGACTAGGCAAAGGTGGTAGCAGGACACTAGGAGGCAATATCTGTTGGACCACCTTGCAGCTTTGAATGCCTGCCCAAGATTCTGGGAGATGAACAACAAAAAAAGTGTCTCTCAATGTAGAATAAAGCATCTTTCTGATCTTATTCCAAGATAGAATTTTTTTCACAGCACTAATTTACATCCTTGTTTCCATCTTACAATAAACTTTAGAAAAGGACCTAAATGTTAATACATTGTGTATCTTTTTACTGGTTTTCTTTTCCTGTAACAAATATCCAATATCATTACAAAACAACCATTTTCCAATTTCCCCCCTCCCTGTTGACTTCCCTTAGCTTCCATTTCTGGTTTATTACATCAAAAGATACTTTTTGCTGTTTGTATTGTTATCATATTGTCATACTTCTTGTATATCATATTGTTATACTTCTTGTTCTCTATAAATAAAATTGTAAATGTTTATTTAAATCCTGCCAATGAGTCCATGTTTTTTGTTTGTTTGTTTGTTTCTGCAAATATATTGTAAAGGGTTTCTTTTTCAAAATTGCTATTGTCCTTTTCACGTAGTTTATCCATTAACTTTGCTAACTCTAATATATTGTGTATCTTAGGCTTCCTCTTTCTGTTCTAGATCATGCTATTATTTTTTGTTACAGGATTCAATATCAGCAACTAGAAAAGGAAGTTTTACAATCTGAAGTCCCACAACCTTCAAAGTAATTAGCTGATAAAAGATTGATTGTCTGCTATTTATTTTTTTTGCAAGGATTCATTTATCAGTTTATATATCCATAGTTCTGTGTGTAAAGTATTAACCCTCATTTATGAATTCAAAAAAGGAGTTCCTCCTGGTCTTCTGTATCTATTCTGTACTTTGTGTACAGAGATTGAAATGATTGAAATGATTTCACTTGTGCATCATGGTTCCACAGCATTAAAACAAGAGTAAACTATTTTCCAAGCCCTCAGTAGGATGTGACTTATATCTAGCATTCCAACATTCCATGGCCAGTTAGGACATACATTCTCAAGAGTCCAGAAAGTTGCCAACAGCTTTATTTCTATTCACGAGTCATAAGCTCACTTTGGACCATTAAATAACTTCTCCTTTAGAACACGATTTGCTTTGGCAATTATTACATCCAAAATGAGAAAACAAATGTAAATTCCTCCAGCATAGGATCCTTACAGAGAGGATCTAGAGGCAACCCTGTATTATGCGGGTGAGGGTTCACCCCTCCAATTACCCTCCAGCCTACTGCAGGTGCCAAAAGCAAACCAAATAAAGTACAGTACCCTTTGGATTTTGTTGCCATATAAGCAGTGCTGCTGTCCAGGCAGGACTTTGGGACAGAAGTGCAGGGTCCCTAAATGCAGCTGGGGCTGGTTTAACACAGTTTGTAACACACACCGCTATCTAAAGAGGACACCACACCACAAGATCCTTAAATCCTGATGCTAAAGTTAGCTAACTGCATATACGCAACATGCAAATTTGTACGTCATGCTCCTGTCGGGAGCTTCCAGAGGCCGTGATGTGGCTACCCGCCATTGGAAACATTATCCTAGGTGAGAAGGGCCTTCCTGCAGGGCAACCTTTACATACATATTTAACCCAGAAATCATTACCAGCCCTTGGTTTTATGGCCACAATTACCTTCTTAACCCCTTGAAACAAAAAGCAAAGGTTTTTCCTTTTAGATAAGCATACTGTCCACCATTCCGAAGACATTTGTGGATTGTTTTTGGTTTTTTTACTCATAGGGAAATCCCTTTAGTTTCTATGGCACCTGCTCCCAGGTAAAGTGGGCTGCAGTCTAGAAGTCCGGGTGCCAACTTGATCAAAATATTGGGGGGGGGGAGTAAGACCCGCCTGTCACAAAATCGATAACAATTCAGGGTGCACATGAAACCATTTGAATGGCAATGCCTATCAACTTTTTTGGGGGGGACACCTCAAATATTTTATTGGGGGGAAGGGAGGTGAAGACACCTCAGCCCTTCGGATTTAGGACTCCTAGGCTAGGAGAGCTTCTTGCTGTGCCCACTTACCTGGGAACAAGTGCCACTGAACTCAGTGGGGTCTTACTCCCGAGTAGACATGCCTGAGCTTCGGGAAGGGGTGGCATGGCTTCCTTTCCCTAGACTTTGAAGGTGGTGTGTGGCGGGGGAGAGAGAAAGCGGGGCCGGGATGGAAAGCTCTAGAAACCCTCAGGGAGGCAGGCAGGGCAGGGCAGGGCAAGGCAGGCTGCCCGGTCTGCAGCAATGACGGGCGACGACGTCTCCCTTACCTGCCACCGGCGCAGCGGCCGCCACAAGGCAAGAGAAGTTGAGCAGCAGCGAGGGAAACTCCGCGCGCATGGAGGGCGGCAGGCGGAAAGTAAACGCGGGAAGAACAAGGAGGAGAAGGAGAAGAAACAGCAGCAGCAGCAGCCGGGGCTGAAGGCACCGTCTCCCCCTCAGCTACGCCGCCCGCCTACGGCCCGGCCAAATGACAGGCCCAGCCGCCTCTCGGAGAGGCATGACGGGAAATTCCTGGGCACCGGCTGCCCAGGCAACTCCAAATATGAGCATAGAGAGCGCGAGCCGGGGAGAAGCCGGCCGGGCTGTGGTTTTCCTGAGGCACCTCGGGGTGAGCTTCACTCCGCCCCCCTCCCCACCCTCCCGGGGAGACGAACTCCTGACGCCCCTCAGAATCAAGTCCCCGGGTGATGATGGGTCCCTATGGCTCTGCTTCCAGCTGGAATTTGGCCATGTGCCTTTTCAGAGCTCTGATGCAAGCAGGGCGTTTTATTTGATTGGCTTTCCCCCCCCCCTCCTCCAGCCTGCTTCTCCCAAGTCCAAAAGAAGTAAGACGGGCTTGCGGAGAGATCCGCATCCCCACGCTCCTAGGATCGCAGCCTAAAAGACAGATGCAAAAGGAGAAGGAACGGGGGCGTGGAAGCAAACTCAGGCGCTAGCTACATTAACCTTTCCATCTGCATTTCTTCAGCATCTAACTATGAGGCATAAGCTGGGTAGGTCGGACTACTTTTTTTAAATGTGAGTGCTCTTCATAAAGCTATTTAGAAAAAGACCAGAACATGATAAAAGTGTGATACAGATAAGCATCCCACCCATACCCAGGATGGAAAGAAGTCATTAGACCTCTTGCCTTGTTAGGTCCAAGTAAGTAATTGGGAGGGGGGGTTGTTTTTGTTTTAAAAAAGCAAGCTGGAAGCCTACAAAATCCATGGCAGAGCTGGGTAGTGGTGCAGCAAAAAAATCAGAATTCAGTATTTCTCAAACTTGGATCACCAGCCGTTAAAACTACAACTCCCATCATCCATAGCCAGGACTACCCATGGCCAGGCATGATGGGACTTGCAGTCCAACAGCTGGGGACCCAAGTCTAAGGTTGGTCTGTATTTACTATTGGTTGGTATTTACTACACTGACTGGCAGTAGTTCTCCAGGGTTTTAGACATGGGTCTCTGCCAGCACTACCTAGAGATGTTGGGGATTGAATGCGGACCCTTTTGCACACAAAAGGATGTGCCCTACACCTTAGAGCTACAGCCCCACCCACTTTGAGGGATAATTCCTAAGGAAGTTTCGAGAAGGCACAATAAAAAGGTTTTTAAGGGCAGAACTGGATTAGTCTGCAGCTTATTAAAATAGGAACGTCCAGCTTCCTTCAGGGACATGAGCTTCTAGAGAGTCTACTCCCTCAGATGCTGAAATGACTTAAAACAAAAGCATCAACATAAACAAATGCATTGTTTCCCCTCTCATAAAATCTAGTGGGAGAAATAAAGAAGTACTACTTTAAAAGATTTCACAAAGACACAGAAATCAAAGGGCTCACTGCTGTTCAGCTTTGGCGCATTTGGCAGACTGAATCATAAGGCTAGAAAAAGCTCACATTAAAAACACTGCTTTTAAAAGAAAAGACCACCACCGAGAGACACTGGGAGCACGAACTCCCAGCAGCAGTACACCAAGGTCTCTGAATGGCAGTAGGCATGTACTATGTTTTCCAGGTTCACCCAACAGAGTTTTCATAAAGGGAACTGATAAAAGCAGGAAGTTTGGGGTCTTTATAGAGTATTGAAGAATCTTTAAAATAACGAATGCCTTTTGCGGTGTTCCTATACTTTCTCCATTTTGCTTCTTGTAAACAAGGAGTTGAGCATCTTCTAAAGTTGTCTTTTCCACTCACTATACAAAGGAGGTTTAAATGAATGGCTGGAACCAAACGGGTTCTCTTGTGATTGCATTTTTGTATACAGTAGTTATCTCACCACCTTCTATAAGCACACATATTTATGGAATTCTGATGGCAAGCCACATAATGTACCAATGGTATCTAACTTGGAGTTGGTGTCAAACTAAGGCTCTCCATTTTTCAGTACTTTTAGCAGAAACTGACAGCATGAAAAACACTGTTTATGTGGAATGTGGTATAGTGTGGCTCTTTGTGCTGCAGTCTATATTGAACCCTTCCATGCCTTCTTCCACCCCCCAAAAAGAAGTATACAAGAGCTGTCATAAGCCCCAGAATGTCACAAAAACTGACACGTGTGTAAAAAGCCCTAATAAATCTTTAATTAGTTTAGTTTTGCTTTTGTGTTTTTACAGGACAAATTACAAATTACAAACATCTGATTTTTCTCAAATGTCCAAGGTATTATACACATTCCCATCTGTCTTGCAGGGAGGAATATTGGTCAACATTTTAAAGGTAAAATAAGCTGCATAATAGTACAGATTACTATAATAAATGTACAGTGTGTTTACAAATAGTTTAGAAGCAAGAACGATGCGACTGCATCAAAAGGCAACCTTTTAAACTGCCACAACTAAATTTTACATTCACACTTGCAACAGGTCACAAGATGGTTACTCAGCTCAATAAATCACTATGATGCACAAATACAGCAAAATCTGATTATATACATATAATACATATACATATATATTGTACATATTTGTATATGTATATAGTAAATCTCATGAAAAATTTACCAGACTTGACAAAAATCTACTCGCTGGTCAAAAATATGTACTTGTTCTTGGTGAGTAGAATTTTGCATGGCTGATTATATTACATATACTTGTTCATTAGCATCCAGGACATAGACCAAGTTTTTTTCAAAGATAAGAAACCGTCCATCATTATTAAACAAGTTGCCCACAAAAAAGCACAAAGGTAAGGCACAATAGGATTTTCTGTTACAGAAGTGTGCATCATGTTCACTTAACCATAAGAAAACGTGCATTTGTGCAAGTTCATGCTGCAGATCCATATCTACAATAGAAACTGGGCTTTAATAAATGTATTTTAAACTGGCTGGTTTCCCATCTCTTCACTTATGCAATATCCAGGTGGATTGACAAATTATGCTGCTTCAACAGGAATTACTGAATCCAATTATTTGATATTTTCAACTAAAGGTCAACATTTTTGTAGTTTTAGGTGTAAACAATGCACACATTTAATATTGAACATAAATTCTTGCTGTAAGTGTTCTGCACTTCTAAGCTCTAACAATCAAGATTTTTGTTTCCAAAAATATGTGCATTTAATTTCACACATGCCTAGGTAGCAAAACCATATAGGAAAGTATATTCCCCAGTGGTCAATTTTGTCCTTGTAATAAATAACAGCTTTTCACAAAGTGTTTTGAGTACCTGCCAATTGCGTCTTTATTGCTCACATAATTTTGAATCCATTATCACAGTTACAATATCAGACCATTCACACAAAAATCATAACCATATATTTTAATATAAAACCTATAAAAGATATTTAACTTGTATCTAATACTTCAAGGTGTTTGGCCTTTATGTAATGGTACAGCCAAAACATAGAAAACATTAGGTTATGAATAAAATAGGAAGCTTATTCACTGCTTTAATGCAGACATCCTCACAAAACAAGATTACTTTTGCTGCCTCCGCCACCAGCATCTACATTTATATACAAAACCAGTAAACCTGCATTCAGTTTGTTTTCTCTCAGCCATTACCAAGACATAATTCCTTTCTCATCCTTAGGCTGACACAGATGAAGCTTTTACAGCAACAGAAGCCAAAAACCAGACAGAAACTAACACTTCTACTTACTTGCCATCAGAAACTGTAGGTGGTTGTGTTACAAAATACCCACAAGATTATTTCACAGGAACTATGGAAATACAGTACATCTCCATGCTTTTAGACTGTTATCAAACACTTGTTGGTGCAAAAATACAGCCACATCTGAGAATGTTTAATAAATTCAACATCTGTCATGCAAAACTTAATGTGTTTGTTTGCTTGAGCTCCAAAACACTTCATAGAGCAATTGTTCAGTATTACTGCCTCATTGCTCAGAAATCCTGAAAAATGAGACCTCTGGAACTTTGATTAATGAAAATGTTACATACAAAAAGTACTAAAAGTGGAAGACGGGACCAGACAGGAATTTTTCCTGCTGCAAGTCAACAGTTCTGGTAGCAGTAAGATGTCTCAGGAGTTTCCCTGAGAGTTAGTTGTGCCTGTTCGGAGACGAAGATGTGACATTGAGTTCATGCGTGTATTTGATGGCTTCAATGGAACATTGCAAGTAATAGCCTGGGGAAAACGATGATGATATCGATCTAGCCGTAAATATTTTACAGTTACCAGTTTCCCTATAGTAAAGAAAGTTCAGAATGTTAAGATTTTGAATTTTTAAAGCATTATTCTACACACTGATTTGCGCATATAACTGAGATGAATACTTTGACATGCAATACTTTTATCTAGAAGCTAGTCACTCTTGCTGTTGAGACTGATGTATAGCCAACTACCAACCTGCTAAATTAATTGTAAATCAGAACAACTTACCATCAAACCAAGATCCATGTAATGCTTTAAAAGCCTTTCCAGCATATTCTGGAGATAAACATTTGACATATACACAACCCTGAGGAGAGAAATAAAGCTTTGATTTGTACCAAATAGAGAAACCGAGTATACTAACTATCGACTTTAAATCATTTTTTTTACCTCACGTGAATTTTTGTCTACTGCTATGTGGACAATTCCCTCATTATCACTGCATTTTTCCAAGATGGCTTCTTGAATTGCCAAATGCCAATGGTCACCTATTTCCCTAAAATACACATAAAACAAAACTTGCACATCATTATTAGTATTTTGATTTTTGTGAGAAAAAATAACGATATAAACTTATTAGGAAACACAGTAATAAACATTTTCTCTAGATCGAGATGGTTAACCTGTGGACATTTAAAGGTTATTGGAGTCCCATTCCCATGAACGCTAGCAAGCATCACATAAGTGGTTAGGGATTATGGGAATTATTGTCCAACAAGGATCAAAATATTCCCCACCCCTGGTTTAGCAATCCATGCAAATATGGCCTATAGGTCTACAAGTACTGACTTCCTTGGAACAGAACTTCTCTGAAATGAATATGCATTAAAAATATAAGGTTATGAATAGTGGAAGAGTCAGAGTAAAAGGCTGGTTCTCAACAAAGAGAAAGCCCTAGTTGCTTGGGTCATCACATGAAGTTAAAAATGAAAACAGTATTCAGGCAATTTGTTCTTATGTCTCCCTCTCCAGCTGCCCAGTGTCATTATACCAGCTAAGACAGTAATAAT